GGAACAGTTCAGGCAGTGCCTTCCGGACCTTCCGTCGACGGACTGTTCTGCGGCTGCTTGCTGGGGGAAGCTTTCTTTGCAGCCCCTGCAGATGAACCAGCCCGTGCGCAGGCGCTTGGCTTTGTTGGAGAGCTTTTCCTGACAGTCGATGCAGGCGAGGGCGTCGTCCGGCATGGTTCGCATCTGGAGGCTGAAGTCTGTGGCTGGCTTCCGTTTGTTGCAGCTGGTGCAGTTCAGCTGGGTCGCGGCGAGCCGGCATTCTGAGCACTGGCGCTTCGTGTCTGCGTTTGCCTGGGCTACTTGCGCTCTTGGAAACGCCTCTTCCACTTTGATCAACTGGCAGCGGTTGCACGGGAGGCTCCGGGCCAGGGCTTTCTGTGCGTTGATGCTTCGTTTCAGGGGGCCTTTGCTGTTGACGGCTCCAAGCTTTTGGCACGGCATGCATTGGCCGCCGCGGTTGGCCCGCTGCAGCTCCCACTCTGCGTGCGTGAAGAGGTCCCAGCTCTTCAGCTCCTTGCATGTCTGGCACCGGGCCCTCGGCCAGCGTGCTTCGTGCATGGCCTTCCAGTCGATCTCTTCGCCTCGGAGCTTTTTCAGGAGCAACGTGGGACCCTCCGTGGCGCCGCGCCGGAAGAGCCAGAGTGGGAACGGCCGCAGGATCAGCACGTCGGATCTGTCGCGCACGCGGCTCGCCACCACCGTGCCGTAGGCGGCGTGAATTTTGGAGTCCACGTTCAGGTCCAGCATCACGGCCGTCCTGTGCGGCGGGCGTCACGACTGTCGCCTACTGTGTGTGTGTGTGTGTGTGTGTGTGTGTGGTTTGGATTCTTTCTGTGTGCGGCCGAGCGGCAGCGTCTTGCCTTGACTGACGTGGGCCGTCATTGCAAAGGCCGGGGTCAGCGGGATCTGCGTGCGCTTGACTTTCAGCACGGGCTTCTTGCGGCCTTTGTCCAGTTTCCAGGTGCGGGAAATCGGCCGGATGGGGTAGAGACCGCGCACCTTCGTGCCGTTGAGGGTCCAGTCGGCTTTGCCGATCTTGACGAACCTCGCTTGTGATGCCGGCTACGTAAGCGGAGGCGGGTGCAGGATCGGGCCCCTGATTTCCCCTTTCCCCCGGGCTGTTGTCGTTGGCCGGGGACTCGAATTCACGGGCCGTAGACGACCGCGGCACACGGCCGCGTCCTGTTTTTTTGTTGTTGTTGTTGTTGTTGTTGTTGTTGTTGTTGTTGTTGTTGTGCTCTCGCAGCTATCGACTGCCGCCGGGGCGCACGATGCTCGGCTGTTGGTCGTTCTCGTGCCAGACCCAGGAGTGGACGTGCCCTGTGCGGCCCTTCAGCAGCTTCTTCTTGGAGCGGTCCACGTGGTGCGTCAGCGCGACGGGCATGCCGATGGCCAGGGGAAGCATTCCGCAGAGCCCTTCCGTGTGCATGTCGTGGTACTGCAGCCAGCGGACCTTCGCTTCTTTGTCGCACGCCTGGGCTTGGAGCGCTTCCGCACCGGCCTTGTCTTTGGCCACGGACCAGACTAGCCGGCTGCCCGCATCCCGGGCGTAGGCCTTGGCGCGGTCCTTGTTGATCTGGTACTTGGCGTCGTTGTTCGGCACGACCACAGGCCCGTGCACGAATTTGGGCTCTCTGAGTCGTGCGTCTTCGGGCCCATCCACCACTCGCTTTCTGGAGCGTCGCTCTTCGCGCGTGAGGGTGCAACCTTCGACTGGCCTGCCGTGGAGGTAGCTGTGGTTGTCCTCGGACAGCATCCCATCGCGCAGCTCGTCCACGACCTGCGGAGCGGGTCGGTGGAAGGAGGCTGTACCAGTGCTTTTCGTTGTTTTTTTGTTTTGTTGCATGCCGAGAGCGTGTTGTTGGCCGGAGGGGGGGGGGGGGCATCGGGCGTGTGCGATGTTCTCTTAGATGCTTTTGTGTTTTAATCTGCTTGCGCGGTCGCTGCGCTCAATTGCTCCCTCGGGCGCCTGGTTCCACCAGTCGTCTTTGCATCTGATCCTCTGGTGCAGCTCCGTCACTCCTTGCACTGCGCCCTCCCAGAAGAGGGCCTGGCCGTGGTCCACCAGGGGGTCGCGCTCTGGGCCTCCCGTCGCGGTCTTGCCGGGCGCCTGTAGCTTCAGGGGGAGGTCGGCGAGGAAGCCTCCTTCGGGCGGAGGCAGTTGCCGGAAGTCGCCGCTGAAGATCACGTTGATGCCGGCGAAGGGTCTGACGTTGCCGCCGGCGTCGCACTTCCATTGGTTGGCGCTCGGCACGGTGCTCCGTGTGCGGGTCTCCACCTGGGCTAGCAGTCGGGCGCTGATCATGCCTACCTCGTCTGCGATGAGCCAGCGCCAGTAAGCCATGCGCCGCGCTGTCTGCGGGCTGCAGGTCGTCTCCAGGCAGTCTCTGTCTTTGCTGAGGCCGCAGGCCGTGTGGAGTGTCTCGCCGTCGATGTCTGCGGCGTTGGTGGCCTGGAAGGCGGCGAACTGGTAGTCGATGCCCTGCTCGTAGCCGAGGAGCTCCTCGAAGAGCTTGCGCACGTACTTCAGCACGTGGGTCTTGCCGGTGCCTGGACGGCCGTGTAGCAGCCAGACCAGCGGTTCCTCACTGCGTCTGAGTGTGTTCTCTGGTGGCACTAGGTTGTACTCCACCAGCACGCGCTCTACGACGAGTTTGAGGAATTCGTGCTGCTCCGCGTTCATCGTGCTTCGCACTTCGTTGCTCTCGAGCCACGCCCAGAGCTGGACGTTGCTGATCTTGGCGGTGCGCTTCGTGGTGGCCCGGCGGCTTCCGGCTAGGCCGGGCGCGTCTGCCGGCGTTTCTGCCTCTCTCTTGTTGCGCGAGGCTTCCGCATCTGCCAGCATGCGTGTGGCGTCGTCGACCCCCGTGCTTGCTTTGGCGTCTTCCAGGAGTTGCTCGGCCATTTCGCGCGGCATGTCGGATGCCGTGGAGGCTTCGCCCAGCCAGACGTTGTGGGAGAGGTTCAGCATTTGCACGGTGAGGTCGTGCTGGGTGCTTGTGGCGGGCGGCTCCTCTGCTTGGTTGGGCGGTGCCTCCTCTTCGGCGCCCGCAGCCCCTTGCTTGCCTGCGCCCCGCACGTGTGTCTTGCTGGCTTCCTGCAGCTCGTCTGCGTCGAAGTTGTAGATTTGGTCCTGGAGATCTTCGTTGTCGCTGTTGGCTGCCAGTTCCATGTCGGGCTGTAGGTCTCGGGGCAGGCTGAACACGAAGGCGTAGTTCAGGACGTAGCGCTTCAGCTCCTCGGTGGGGAAGCCCCCGGCGTGCTTCCACGCGCATTGCAGCGCCTGGCGCCAGCTGCTCATGTCCGTCGTGCGGAGGTGGCCGACGTACGGGACGGCTTCGGTGGCCTCGTGTGGGTTGCTGGTCCAGGGACAGAAGAGCAGCAGGATCTTCATGATGTGCTCCTCCTCGCTGCGGCTGCCGAGCGCACCGTAGAGGACCGGCACGTGCGGCCGCTTGCGTGGGACGATGACCCAGTCGTGGCGATGCTTCCGCACGCGGTTGCCGTTGCCCAGCGGCATCCAGTTTTCCCCGCCTTGTTCTCGGATCAGGTAGTCCGTGCCGCCCTGCAGAAGTCGACGTCCGAGTTTCTTGCCGAGCTTCTCCTTGCCTTTGTCCGTCAGCAGGGCGTGGTAGGCGATGTCGTTGTCGGTGGCTGCTTCGCGATCAGCGGCGGCGGCCTCCTCCTGCTGCTTTAGGGACCATGGATATCTGGCTGGCTGGATGTGGTAGAACCGAGCGAACTCGAAGGCCGAGAGGGGTTGCACTCTGGGGTCCGTGCCGCGGTTGCCGTAGACGGTCCACAGCTGTGGCTCGGCGACGAGCTTCCTTTTGCTTTTGTTGCCGGGTCTGTCGACCCACCCACTGAGGTCGCTCTGGATCTTTGCGCGCTCTGTCGGCAGCGGCCGGCCTTCGGTGGCGGCTTGCATGAGCTCGAGGCCCACCTGGAGGGACATGCCCGCGAGGGCTGCGGTCTTGATGGTTTCCGCGGCGGTGGGGTCGTTGTGGCCGGCGTTGTCGATGAGGTTGGTGCACTCCACGGAGCCTCGGACCACGCCCCGGGCGAAGGCGTCCGTCATGAGGCGCTTCGAGGCTCTGGCTCCCACGTAGCCGGCGGAGGAGTTGTTCCGCAGTTCGGTCTCCAGGTCCTTGTGGCTCTTGTTCCACTCTTGGACCTCGTTGACCGCGATGGGGTTCCGCTTGTTTTGGTAGTCGCATGCATAGCCTGCCTGCGCTGCTTGGTTCAGCTGGGCCTGGTAGGTCATCTCCCGCAGGCTGCTCTTCGTCGGGCAGTCTCGCGTGCAGCGGCCGGCGGCGTCGTGTAGGTCATCGGTGATCGGGAAGCGGTAGGGCAGCTGGACGTCGCCGTTGCAGCGCAGGGCGGCCAGCAGCGCGGGGTGGTTGCCGTTGAGGTTCGGGTCGTTGCAAGGCCCCCAGAGACGGCCGAGGGCGCTGCGCTTGCCCTTGACCGGCATGCCCATCTTTTCTGCGAGTCCCTCGCACACGAGTGTCGTGCTGTCCACCAGCTGCTTCTCGCGAGGGAAGCCTGCCTTGCACTTCGTGGGGTCTTTCTTGTCGCGGCAGTGGTCGAGCGGCAGCCGCGGACCGTTCGTCGTCTTGGGGAGGTGCACGTGATGTTGCTTCAGCTGCTGCAGGGCCTCCACGTCCTCGTCGAGATAGAGCCGTCGCCAGGTCGTGGCGTCCGTGGACGCGTCTGTGCTCTGGTAGTGCGGGCGGCTCAGGGCCAGGTAGGAGTCGCGGTAGGCGGGCCACTGCTCCTCCGTTTCCGGGCGCTTCTTCTCCCAGGTTTGCGGGTCCCGGTAGATGGTGCGGCTGACGTGGGCCGTGTAGGTGCAGTACTTCTGGAAGAGTTCTTGCTTGCGTGCGGGACCCAGGGCCTGCAGCTCCGCGAGGGACTTGAACTGGTGGAAGCACTGGAGGAAGAGCTGCACAGGGGGCGGCGGTGGCTTCGGTGTCGCATGGCCTTTCTTTGGTTGTCTCTCATGACTGTGCCGGCGTGCCTGGAAGTGGACGTGCAGCACCCCGGACTTCTGGCTTTCGATGGACCCGAACGCGGCGTCGATGCGGCCGAAGATCCCGCCGCAGGCCATGGCGTTGCTGCCGAAGGCGTCCGCGCAGGGTGTTTTGGACTTGCTGCAATTCGGGCACTGGGGGCAGTAGCGGACGCCGAAGAGGTGACGCAGCGCGAGCTGCACGAGGGTGCGGAAGCCGTCGGCGCAGGCCACGGGATCCTTGGTGAGCATGGCCCGGCGAGCGTCGTAGGGCGGCAGCTCGGCGGCGAGGGCTTCTGGGTTGAGGCTGTAGAACTCCACGTCCAGCTCCGGCTTGCTGCGCCCCTGGGCTCTTCGGGTGGTGGTGTCCTCTGGGCCGAGGCTGGGGTCGGACTGCCGGGCGCGGGCCAGGCGCAGCATCACCGTGCTGTCGCGCTCTGAGGGGGAGAAGGTCACGAAGATCGGTGTGCCGTGGCATATCCGATTGGCGTGGGTTTGGAGGCGCATGGTCTTGCGCACCTCGTGCGTGCCCGGGATGTTTCGACTGCGCGCCTCCGTGTTGTCCAGGACCTGGCACCGCTGTCGGGCTTGCTTTGGGCACTCGTTGTAACCTGGCTCTTGGTAGCTTGCCTGCTCCGAGTGTGGCCTTCTACGGCGCGCGTCACGGCACTTGCTTGCTCTCTACGGGTTTTCAGGCGGCGAAGGATGGGAGGCTTGCACTGCGGGTGGGTCCGTGCTTTATAGGATTTTCTTTGCACGAGCTTCGAGCCTTCAGGGCTGCTTCTGAGAGCCCTGGGACGAAGCGTAGTTTGGTGAGGTCTCCGTTGATGGGCTTCAGCTGGTTGTTGATGTCGAGGTACTGGCCTCTGAGGAGCTTTTGCTGGATCTGCTTTTGCCCCTCCAGGATCTCCTTGGTGGTCAGGGCCCTGCTCTCGTGGTTCTCGTCGGCGACGCTGTAGATGAAGGCGTTCCCCTGGGTGTTCACCATGGTCCTGAAGAGGTAGTTCCAGAGGGTGAAGCCGAAGCTCCAGTCTCGCCTGAATTGGGTTTCTGCCCGGCGCTGCATGGCTGTTGCCCATTCGAAGATCTGCACTTGGGGGGCCTCCGGGTTCTTGTCTCGGCGGCGTCCTTGCGCTGACGCCCGGTTGCCGGCTGTGCTGTTGCTGTTCTGGACGTCCGGACAGGCGGTGCCGTGGGCGAAGCAGAAGCTGAAGGCCGTGGCGAAGTAGAGCGGCTGGAACTGGTCCACCAAGATGTTGCCGGTGCGCACCTCCATGGTCTCGAGGACCTTCTCGTTCTCTTCGTTGCTGCGGAGCTGGGTTTGGAGGTCGTTGAGTGCGGCCGTGGCCACGGCGTTCTGGTCCTCGCGGTCCGTGCTGCAGCCTTCCGGCACGACGGCCCGGGCTCGCTGGTCGGCGAAGATGGCGCCGGCCCGCTGCATGTCCTGCTCCGGCGCGTCCGTCGGGGCGGCGGCCTTCTGCGGCTGCAGCTTGTGGGCGGTCTCGTCGTCCTCGCTCAGGCCGGAAATGATCTTGAGTACTTCCGGCGGCACGCCGCCCTCTGGCAGCTGTGATGCTGCCTCCCGCACATCCGCCATGCGCAGGTGCTGGAACGCGGGATGCCCGAGGCGCTGCATGTCGTGGATGAGGTTCACGACTACGTCTCTCCGCACGGTGGCCTGGTGGAGCAGCGTCTTGATCTCGGTCTCGCTCGTCTTGCCCGTTTTGTTCGTCTTGAGGAGCACCCTCGCGACCTCGGCGAGCGCCTTGCCTGTGCGCGGCAGGCTGGGGGGTGCTGCCGCTCCCGCTTGGTCCTGCTCCCTGGCAACTTCTGCGTGGTGTGCCTCTAGGTTGCGCAGGAGGTCTTCCCATGGGAGGGGAAAGGTGAGGGCGTTGCCGCGCGCGCCCAGGCGGTGACGGGCGTTCTGGGCTTTTTCGTCTAAGGTGGTCCCTTCGCTGCGGTGCCGCGCTTCCATGGACATGCACACCAGGGTCGTCACGCAGGGGCTTGCGCAGATCATTTCCATCACTGTGACCTTCTCTTCGTGCAGGCGCGCCGGGGAGTAGCCTGTCCACATGTCATTGCACAAGCTCAGGGGCGGCAGCTGGCCGTTGTCCAAGTGTTGCGCGCAGTCGCGGCAGAGGGGCACCTCGCAGTGCTCGCAGAGCGTGTGCTGGCTTGGGTGCTGGGGATTGGCGTGGCAGCGGTGGTCTTCTGGGCCGCAGAGTATGTCGCCGAGCCCGGGGATGGTCACGGTCCACTCGTTCAGCTCGGCCACGTCGGTGAGCTTGACGTCCCCGGCCAGGTCGTCGTAGAGCCCCAGGTACTTGTCGATGCTCAGGATGTCGTGCAGACGTTCGGTTGTCTCGGCGTGGGTCCTGTCGTTGCTGTGGGGACCCTGGATGAGCCTGCGCCAGCGGATGGGGCCCGCGGCCTCGGCGTCGGCCACGCGTGTGTGGATGCATGCGCAGCAGAAGCAAATGATCGCTTCCACCCTGTCTTTGCTGGTGGCTTCGGCGAAGCTCCGCAGCGCGCTTCTGTCCCGCGAGCTTCCGGCCACGGGTGCGGCCTCTCTGCACCGCAGGGCTATGGCTTCGTTGTAGACGCTGGCCAGTGCATCGGCCGGGATTGGCTTGGGTAGGTGCTGTGCGACGCTCTGCAGTGCTGTTACGTGCTCTTGCTGGACGTGCTCTCGAAGCTCTTGCTCGGTGCCCGTAAGCAATGACCAGTTGCAGCTCTGGAAGGCGCATAACTGTCCTGGCCAGGGTTCCCCACGGTCGAGGTCTTCGGGCCTGGCTCCGGGCGGTATCAGCGGCTGGGCTCGCAGCTGGGTGTGTGCGAGGTGCCGGAGAGCCTCTTCCAGTTGCCGCCGGGGGTGGCTGCTGTCCGGCGCCACGGGCATGCTGGTGAGCTCTTCCAGGAGGTTGGGCTCGTCCTGTGCCTCTGGCTCGGGCGGTCGTGTCGCCGGCTTCGACGGCGTCTTGCACGCCTGGGCCTGTTGATGGGCCTCCTCTCCGCCGGCGGCGGTTCTTCTGCGCTTGGCTGGGCGCGGAATCGGGTGGGGTGGTGGTGGTGGTGGTGGTGGTGGTGGCAGTGGTGGTGCGGGTGGCGGTGCTCGGTCTATGGGCACCAGCAGGTCGTAGTGGTCCCTGCCGTTGTACCAGAGATGGATCACTTCCGTGGCGTTCGGTGCTGCGTGCGGCCCGCGTTGGGCTGCTTCGTCCACGTCCGAGTGCGTGCGCTCGCTCGTGAGGATGTCGCCGTTTGGCGTCCGCCAGTGCAAACGGACTCGCTGCTGCCTCATGCGGGTGAAAGCGATGATGGCCGTGTCGCCGCCCCAGTGACCCGGCTCGCTTTGGAGGTATTGGCTTTCCTGTAGCCAGGCATGCACTTGCTCTTCGTCTTCTTCGGCTTCTGCGTTCTCTCTGAGGTACTGGATGATTAGGGCTCGGAGGCATGCCCCGCTCTCGCCGGTGTTCTCTCCGAGCGCGTGGAAGAGGCAGTTGCCGTCGCCTGACATCTTCTTGATGGCCAGCATGCCCCGAAAGTGCTCCTCTCGGCTGCATTGTCTGCTTGCCTAAAGAGCGCTCTTGACAGTGGATGCTCGAGGGAAAACGCCGGCCTCGACGCTGGGTCCGGGCTCCGTGTCGTGGTCGGAGTCCGTCTCGGCCCCCCTCGTCGCGCGGCCGGTTCTTCGTGAGATGGTTCAGCGGCATTCCTTGCGAGCTTTGCCGCTTCCACGGCTTCGTTTCTTGGCGGTGTTGCCTCGGCGGCTCTGTCGGCCTGTGCACACAGTGGGACTAGACGCTTGCCGGGCGGTGTTGTGCGCCTTTGGGGTGTAGCTTCTCTCCGGTGCCTCTGCTCGCTGGAAAGCTCGATCCAGGGCTCTCTCGTCGTCGGCCGTCCATCGTGGCTGGCGCGGCAGTGGCTTTTTGGGGGCCTGCAGGTCACGATGCCGCGTACGGCTTGCTTTCTTTTTTCTATGTCTTTTCTCGTGGCACAAGTCCTTACTTGCCTTCCGGCCGTGATGCCTTCTTCCGTCGGGGTGTTCTTGGCTTCGCGCCGGAGGGCGGGGTCGTGTCCCGTCGAGGTGCGGTTGTCGGGGAGGTTTTCCAGGCCTCGTGCGTGCATGCCCGTGGGCTCTCCTGTGATTTCTGAGGGCGACGGCACGAGGTGTCAGCGCGCCTCGTCGATCTTGATTGTTCCGCCCTCGGCCGGTGGGTTCGGTGCGCAGTTGCGCGACATACATGCGTGTATACACGGGTTCTCTCTTCGGAGGCTCTGGTGCATGCACGGGCGTCAGAAGTGTCAGGCTGCATCTCCTCGCCAGGTAGTCCTTCTTGAACGCTTCGAAGTCCCAGCCGGTCGCCTCGTGGTTCGGTGCGCTGAGGCCGTTGAGGTTTCGGTCGGGGTCGGGCCGTCTGCGCGTGTCGCATGCGATCCCGCCTGATCGTCGTCGTCTGTCATGTCGGCCCACCGTCGGCTGCTTTCGGGCTGCATGATGGCTTCACCTGCACGGGCGGGGGAGCGAACCGTGCCTGCTCTTTCTCTCTTACTGTCGGAAGCAGCTTCGGCCTAGATGGTTCTTCAGGAAGCGAATCTCTGCTTTTGAGGCTCGATCACGAATTGGGCTGCGGTGCCAGGTTAAGGTTGGTGTGCTCTCGCTGCAGGCACGATGTCAGCGTCGTTGGCTTGCTGCTTGCAGCCGACTCTCCTTTTTCGCTTCTGCTGCTGTGGCTGCAAGGCGCGGTGCTCCTTCGCGGCCGGCGCACGGCAGAGGTTGTGTGAAACGAACGACTCCTTCCTAGCTCTGTGCTGTCAGCATGTCTCACATGTCATGGGAAAGGACCAACGTGATCAGTGGCCCGTCTAACGTCGTGCGCACTGCTTGGTTGCGGCTCCGCAGGCGGCCCTGGGCTGCCGCTGCTAGAGCAGCGGATGTAGCAAGCT